CTGCAGCTAGCTGATTTTGCTGGCCAGTTTAGTCTCTTCTCCTTCTCTCTTCCCCCCTCATCAGGCGCTTGCCCCCTCTTTATCTCCAGGAAGCTACAAGCATAGGAAAGGTCAGCAGCCAACTGAACTGAGGACTTATCCCACTGCTAGCAGGCCACTAGCCTCATTGCGCACATCATTTATTTAAGGTGGACATCAGTGCCAACTAGAATTGGGACAGCATCCAACAAAAACCACCACCATTTAGTTTCATGCCAGGACACGTTTTCTTACAGTCACAAAAAAAAAAGGCACCTCCAGAGGGACTGAAACATGCCACCTCCAAGCACAAAGATGGATTCACTACAGCCGTGTACAAAGCAGGAAAGCTAAGATATGACCTCACACCCTTTAAAAAACATGATTAGGAGCTGACAGGGAGAAAACAAGCCAACCACTCTAATTATCTATATGGTCTACAGAAATGACAGCAAGAAGTGGTGTAGTGAAAATGAAGAATGAGCAAGAGGAACACAAGGTACCAACCATTTAATGCTGGAGCTGTGGAACATATAGCACGTATGCAGTTGAAAGCAGAGCAAGTCTGTGAATAGGATAATAACCCATAAACCAAGCAGCACTGAACCACAAGACTTGTAATCAAAATACACTCCTGCAGCTTGGGAATAGGAGGGAAGTTACAACAGTACCTCCCGAAACCATGGGAATGCAGTCTGATTTAAATAAAGGGGGGGGGGGGGGGGGGGGGGGGGGGGGGGATTTAAATATATTGAATTCAAAATACATATATTAAAAAAAAAAAAAAAACACAACCCTTTTTGTCCCCTCCACTGGATCTTCACAGAAATTGACCTGCAGCTAGGCTGGCACTTTAGCACCATGTCAATACACAAAGTTACAAAAACAAAACAAAACAAAAAAAACCCCACAACCACACACACAAACTGACAACAACAAAGCAAACCTCTTCTGCCAGTGTAGGACACTGACCCTCAGTGTAGGGTGCAGCAAGCCCCAGAGGCTGTACGAAGGAGAAGGGCACAAGCGAAGCACCAGGGTGAGCACCAGAGCAGCTCAGGGACCATAGCCCCAGGGACTCGCCTTGTTCTCTAGCCTTTCAGCACATTTCCTATGACAAAGCTTCATCTGCACTCCAGGCTGTGCACCAGCTTTTTTTCCACATCATAAAGCAAAATAGGGCAGAAAAGGTTCTCTTCAGTGAACCCTAACAGGCCATTCTCTGTACTTAACAAGCTATTCCTCTCGGTAAAGGTAATGGATAGTGCGTTCCTGAGCAAGACACCCGAGGCCTTCTCCAACAGCGTTCGTTTGCTTGGAAAAGGAAATCCATAAGCAGAAAGGTAACTCCACTCACATCACAAATCTCCTGCTAGGGAGGAAAGCAACAGCCTCACCTTGAGCATCGCCTGCAGCCAAGACACGTCTGAAAGCCGCACGCAGAGCAAAGCGAATGCAGAGCAGCCAAGCAACAGAAACCGCAGCGCAGCAACAGATGCAAGGAAGTGACATCCCCTCAGCAAGCGGTCCAGAAACTTATAGGTAATAAAGCTAGTAACAAAGATTTAAATAAAACTGTAAACCATCATTTGAGACCAGTTAGAGGGTAAATGATATTTTACAAGACACAGAGATTTTGTATCACCTGCTGAGCAGAAGTAGGTGACACCTACCTGGGTGTGCCTTGGAAGAGGCTGGCCTTCAAGTTGCAGGTCTGATATCTTTCTAGCTCAACTACTATATTTTTCACAGCATAGCCTTGCTGTTCAGAAAGCTCTAGTTGGGAGGCCCAGAATCCAGACGTTTAAAGGACAGTATTCAAAGGAACATGGACTTTTTTTTCCATTATCAGCCCCGCGTCTAGTAGTTTCATGGCACATAAGGAAGGACCTGATTTGCAGCCCTAGCTCCTACAGTTTTCAGATAGGAATACTATTCCCTTGCCCTCATTAGTACTGCAAGGAGCAATGCTTTGATCTGATACTTAATAGTACAAGGCCAAAGGCCTATGGCTTTACAGGAGAGAGCATCTGCAGCCTAGCCCCTGCCTCAAGATTCAGTATCAGGATCGTCCCACTGGGATAAGCTTCCAGCACTGTGGGGCGTGGGGTATCGATTATCACATTTGACAGAGATAGATGGCTGCATGTTGCACATTCTAAATTTCCAGACAGCATAATCTGGACGAGGAGGACAGAAATGCCTGCAGCAGCTATTTAAAGCTGCTGAATATTCCAGTGTGTCTGATGGCAAGTGGCAGAGAAGTATGGATAACACAATGGCTAACAGGGAACCTTACAGCATGGTCATACAGACTGCATCCATTTTGTCTCAATGGCATAAAAAGCAGGTTTTCATGGGTTTTAAAGCCTCATGCAAGCATGAGAACTGCTTACAAAACAAGCGCAAAATACTGCAGCCCACATGAGCAAGGCTGGAAGTCTGATTCTCACAATGCTATATCCTGCACAACATACAGTATATGCATATGTACACACAAATATAATCACAACTCCAGGTGGAGAGCAGTTGAGAACTCGGCCCATTCTGCTGCCCTTGCTAGAAAGTCTCCTGCTCTGGGCTTTGCCATGTCTGAAGTAATCGGTTGTTCCTTCCCGAGATTCTTTCCAAAGGCTTCATTTCTAAGGGATTCTGTCCTCAGTGCTCAGAGGACCCCAAAATCCAACCACTGCTAGGCTGCAAACCTAAATGGGTTGCAGTCCGCATTATAAAAATTCACTCTCAGCTACTTTGCTTTCAGTAATGCGACAGAACCGCCTGTTGCTTCCAGCCACCAGGCAGCAATTAATACTACCAAAAACCTACACTGCTCTTATTCCCAAATGCTTAGAGACAATCTTTTGCTGAGCAAACTCAAGTACTAAGAGATATTCAAGCAAGTCATCTTTGGCAAGTCACCTAGCCTTGTGCTGTCCTGGAAGACAGGTTGTCACTCTCAGCAACAGCCGTCTTCCCAGTTGGAGCTGCACACTGGACCCAGGCCCACGGCAGCATCTGCCTCATGAAGGAAAGCCCCTGTTCAGGCTCATGGGTGTGCTTCCGCCTCTTCACCAGCAGCAGCGTCCTAGGATCAAATAAATAAATACGAGCCTCCGCTTGACCCTTGAGGCCAGAGCTCCTCACTTTCGGCTTCTTTCTGCTATGGACAAGAGCTGCCACACAATGGCAACACATGCTGTTAAACACTTTATTTCTAGATCTGTAAATATTTTACAACAGCGTGTAAAATATCCCCCACTTTACACAGGGAGAAACCAAGGCTTAGAGAGGTGCTACAAGTTGCCTGTGGCTAGCAGAGCAGTGGCAGACTTGGCAATGTAATAGTCTGCCAAGGCCCCGGCCACGCAAACACGCTGCCTGCCTTCCAGTAAGGCCCACCACTTGCGATAACACAAGAACATCCTGTTGCCTTTGGAGCAGTTTGCTGAGCACGATCCCAAAGGGTTTCAGTCAAACACGGTGCTCGACCAAGCTCTCGGCATGACGGCAGCTAGGCCAACGCACCGAGCCCAAAGGACTTCAAGTCTCCAACTCCATACACAGGAAGATAAGGAAACAACTGCATCCCTCTGGTATAAAAAACAGCACCAAGCTAACTGGAGCGTCCCGAAAAAGACACCTCATGTCCACTTTTGGGAGGCAAAGTGAACAGGTAGGCGCTGGTGCCTGCTGGTGTCAGGCAAGGGACATGGCTGCCATCAGGGATGGGGCCATTTCCAGGCCAGGGGAGACAGGAACTCCAAGGCCTGCTTAACAGCAACAGACATACATATCTGGAACAGTTATTCATTTACAGCCTCATAAATTAGTGAGCCCATAAAAACAGGAGCCTCAAGGAAGGAGATGCCAAAACCCCACCATGCAAACCATGTTAATTATGATAATAGGCAGATTTTAATAAGCCAGTTCCTGGCTCCCACACTTCCACCTATAAAACGTACATATTTCCGAGGCCAGGGGATCTCAGAAATATCTGCCACCCATCTAATTGTCTAAACCCCAGTGGCACAGAAAGCATGTGAGAGGGCATGTCACACCCATAATCCCTTTGAATTTTTCTAGTAAAAAGATCAGATGAAAGAACTCCTCCTCTGCAAAACCTGATCTAGTTAGAGGAATGAAACAACTGTTTCAGCACAGGCGGTGGTAGCGGTAAAGGAGACAGCAGGGCCTGAGGAGGGAGATGAAAGAGTGGTAGGTTTCCCCCTCCAAGCGACAGGACGAGGGAGCTCCTGGATTCCCGGCTGCGTAGCTCTGGCAGCTGACACGGCTCTTCCTCCAATGCCCTGGCAAGGAGTCAGGCAGCATGGCTGTCTGTGCCAAACATCTGCCCAGTGAGCGTGCTGGAATCATGTCTATGCTGAGCACTTGAGCGTGGACAGTGAGGAAGGGGAGTCTGCCGGCTCAGCTAAGCCTTCAGCTCCCGCTCGGGTTTCATGCTGAAGGGTTCCAGCCGCTCGTTCTCCGGCAGCATGCTGTTCAGCCTCTCCATGAGGGGGATGGTCTGGTCGATGCCCATCTGGATGCGGCGCAGGATGGCAGACATCTCATTGACCTTCTGGATCTGCTCTGCATACTTGGCATACCTCTTCTGGCGCTCCTGCATGAAGCTATACAGAGTTTCCACAGAGAGATCCATCTGTTTAAAAACAACAAACAGAGCAAGCCACATTAGCCAACTGTTAGCGCGAGCCTTTCAGCGCAGTATCATTCCTAAAAATTTCCATGAAGCATGCTAGCGCCCCGCTGGAGCTACCAGCCAGGTATAAAGGAACATCTCTGCTGGCGCATGACCAGTTGGTCATGAAATGGCATATTTCATAGCTGTTTAACATAGAGGGCGTACGACCACCTAGTTCTACACCCATATAATGAGTATTGACCTACAAATTCTTTATTTACGGAGTTTAATGCCAACAGGCACTGCCAGGGATTTCCTAACAAACCATAAGCATATCCTCCAAGTTATCCAAACCTAGTGAAATTGTGGCCTCTCCCTACACCTGTATATTTTTCAGTGGAGATTGTCCATCTTAAAGCATTAAGTTCTACCTTACTTGCCAGGGCTAAATGCACTGGCTTAGCCAGGTTACACAGCAACTAAGCTACCGATGTTATTACTGTCCTCTTCTGGAAAACGCCTGCCTTAAGAGAGAACCGCAATGCATTACTAGTGTCCCTAATTTCCCTGAATCCTAAAAATAAAAGTGTTATGAGTGACCCCAAGAGAAACATTAAGTAAATCAGTCATGCAATTAAACGTGGGAAGAACCAAAACACAGCCGGAGTGTTATTACAATTGCAGGAACTGCAGTTCCTGCCATTCCTGCCATTGAGCTATGAAGGTAACTTCTGTAATTCACAGCCTAACTTTCTCTTCAGTTGTATCTGTAAACTCCAGGGATTCAGCGGACAGCTGTTAATACTGCATCCAAAACAAGCTCAGTCATTACTGCTTAAACTGTTCTACACATTGGAAGATCTACCGTATATAAATCTCTCATTCATAGCACTCGGTAACAGACCTATTCCAAACCCTCAAAAAAAACACCTAAAACTCAAATACTTCACTGTAGTTCGGCTCCGCAATCCTACTGCATTGCGCTGGCTGCTCATACTCGGGTATTTCAGAGTTGTGGGCACATGTCTGGCTCCCAGCGCATGGCGCTGGTGAAGTGGGAGATTCCCATTACCCGAGGCAGGACGAGCACTGGCAACCTTCTCTGCCTCCAGCAACAGCGGTCCCCTCACCTGGGACCCAGCACATGCCCGGGGAGGTGGCTGCCACAGGAAGGGGAGAAGGTGGCACGCGTCACGTAGTTTTAGCCCCTTGCCTCCTATTTTCATCAGCACGTTTCCAAGATCTCTCCCATTCAATCACCACCAGGGGAAGGGGGTCACTGCTCATGATGAAGCAGCATCTCCAGGTCTTCAGGAAATCAGTGCTGAGGACTCCCAGACTACCTGGAAGCGCAGGTTCAACCAACATCACTGGTTTTACCTGAGTAATGGAATCAACTCATTTGGTGGAGGGGAGCGGACAGCACCCGTCATCGGGGACACAGATTTATTGGAGTGGTACCAAAACAACAAACCATGCTGACCAGATCTGACTGTATACATCTACAGATAGCGCATACCAGCAAGTGTGATCGTGACCCTGTCGGCAGTGGTTTTGCGGGGGTTGGGGAGAGTCTGTATTGGGGGAGGAGTCTCCAGAAATGGGTGCGAACCTGTAAGGGGCATCCCCCAGAGGAGGTAAACGTCGGCACGCTGAGCGCTGAACCCTGCTGCTGCCGCCAGCAGGACAGCAACACCCAGAAAGAAAAGGGGGGGCTGTGTTTGCTGGCAAGCATCCCTTTCAAGCCCTGGAGAAGGGGTCAGTGCAAAAATAGTCATGAAGAAAATATTTTATTGAGAAACCTAAGTTACAAACTGCATTAAAAACAAACACACAAGTTTCCGCTGAACTGTCGTGGGGATTAGGAAACGTTTTTTTCCATCACCTCCATCAGAGCTGGATACAGTATCAACTAACCTTTTATTTCTTCTAGACTGTTTTCTGTTCTTCCAGGCTGAAATCTTCCTTTTGGCCTCTGCGCTTTCCCATGAATTCCTCCCTCTACGCTTTCAGGCATAGGACAAAATAAAAACCAGCAGAGCAGGAAACTCCAAATAGAGTGGAAACAATTTAAGCCTACATAGGGGTTTCTATTAAAACCCTAGCTTAATAATTTAGTAGTTTGGCACTAACTGCAAATTGGAGTGTGTAAAAGCAGACCACCACCAGGCCTGCACAGGATGGAAGTAAATTCAATTCAGTGACTAAAAACGTCCTACCTAATGAGAGACAGCAGCGTGGAGTGGCAGCCGGCTGGAAACCCCTCAAAAGTCAGCATGCCTCATTGAGCACAACAACACGGGGACCGAAGAGGAAACCTCCCCTGGTTTTAAAGTTCTCCTCCACTGACAGGTTTCTTCACATGGCCTCACACTTCCATGCAAGAGGCAAAGTTTGCATCTACCCAGCTCTGAAATAACAACAAAAAAAGAAACCCTGTTCTCTCTGAGAGACTTTTAGGCTCCTTGCAAACATGCATGAATATGAGTAACGTGCACTTAGGGAGGGGAACCCAGAGAAGATGACCTGCAAAAGGAAGAAGAAACGCAGAGGGGCCTTCCAAGCTCTTTGCTACTTTTGGACAAATTCACAATGGCTATAAAAAAAGCTGCCTCACAAAAAAGGGAAAGGGTGGAAGTGAGCGTTTCCTATGCGTTCCCAATATCGAGCATTGAAGTTTGTCTGCCATGGAGGCCATGGCAACTGCACAGCTAGCAACACTGCAAGCTGTAAGAAACACTGACGTTGAGTAACTGTGAGGAAAGGCCAATTTTCACTCAGACTGAATTTGGCCTTTTTAAAAGAAAAAAAAAAAAGCAGCTACGTGTTAACTCCAGTATAAAAGTGCCAATGCCTCTTTGCAGCTTTCCTTGAGACAGGCCTAAACACACACACACCTCCTTCCTGCCTCCCCCCCTCAAAGCAAGCTCCCTCCAGCGCCAAACCTTGTACTTTTACTTCTCCTGGCACCCAGTCTTGTTTCTCTGACACTCAGACCAGGCCTTGAGTTGCAAGACTCAGGGTCAACCATATTTACCCACCACAGAGCTTAAAACCTGTCCTTTGGGAATCTGTGATGAACAGTGAATGCACATAAGAATCTGCTTAATCCCAATACTATTTAACTCCCTACAGTGGCAATAAAAAGCATCTGGAGGAACGGAGCTTATGCAAGAGCGTTTGCTTGCCTACAGCCAAGGCAGCCCAAGTTTTTTTAAGTCATCTCCAAGGGTGAGACAGCGAGACAGGCGAGTTTACCTTCTCGGAGCAGCTCTCACCATCTCCTACCTCTAGGGAGGCTGGCCCAAGGTCCTACTACAGCATCTGTGCTGCCTAGGCTGCGGGCTCAGCTTTCTCGCCCATTGCCAGCTGGAAAGCTCTCTGGGCAGTCCAGCGAGGCGCTCAGAGCCGGTGGCTCTCCCACCGCCCACAACCATCTGTGAGTGTTTTACTTGAGCTGTTGTTTCTGCTCCACTCGCTTGGGGTTTCCAGTCGAGCCCAGTTAATAGTCACCAGGAGCTCCCCAGTGGGCAAGTCACCGCCATGTCTTTGCAAACTGTGATGGACACAGTGCTGCTCTGCCACCGGCCCCTCCAAGGTGTCACCACCACAGCGTCCAGCTTGCCTCAGAGTTCAGGAATTTCTCTTTCCAAATCAGTATCAAGTAACCAGTTCATAGGTACAGAAGACAAACTGAGAGAGTCAAAAGGCTGGAGCTGAAGCCTATTAAAAACAAAGGGGACAAGAGCAAACTGGCACAGTCCGGCATGAGGCTTCCTAGTCCCAGTTTCCCAGTTCTCAGCAAGGTCGGAGACTCACTCTAGCCAGGTCATAGGGAAAGGGAAGTCTATTCTCAGAGGCCTCCTATTTTTCTTCAAACAAAACCTGAGACTGGGCATCCCCAGGGTGGAAGAAAGGATTTTTTCCCCCCTTTTGCAATCAGTGGAAACTTTTTTCCAGCTTTTCTTTCAGGAGTATAATGTAGTTAAAAAAAAAAAAAAAAAAAGACAAGCCCAAAACTCACTTTCCACAACAATATAGTTTTTTTCAATCGGCCAGTGGCATTCTGAAAAAGGAACTAACAGACCCAAATTCTCAGCGCCTGTGACTCCTCTACAGCCCAGTAGCAGTGATACAGTAATTCATGCCTAGGCTTCACATTTTGAACATGAAATGACATCTACCAGGCTTTTCTTTCTTCCCATGAAAACAGATTCATAATTACTTTCAACAGCAGTGCAACGTGGATGTCTCCCCACTTACACAGCTCCGCAGGGCCCGTCCCTGCTGCTCCAGTCACATGCCGAAGCAGCAAGGCCTCAGAGACTCTCTGCATTACACAGACCCATTTGTAACCGCTGATAAAACACAAAAGCAACCGAGGGCACTTTCAGGCAGTCACACACCACACATTCTTGCATTTATTTTAGAATGCCTTTTGGCCCACACTGCCAAGCAGAATAAAGGCACTAATTTAGCCCACCAAAGCCTGAGGTCAGTTCTGAACACTGTCCAGCTCTTTTCAAGACCATGTTCAAAACAAACCAAAGCCCTATATATACCCACACCTCTTACCTAGTGTGATTTTACAGTCCATCTGGCATGGACATGCAAGTGTCCTGAGCTCTGGGAAATAGAGGCCACTTCTTTTCAGGTCATTGACTGAAACTGAAAACTGCAGCCAGACATCTTTTCCTTAATTTCAGAACTGAAAGAGTGCAAAGATGTGCAAACATCATCATAAATTCATCAAACTTGGAATCGAAGGCATTACTCACATCAGCAACAAACCAACACATAATCATAAGAGGATGCTCTGCCACTCCCTCTTTTTGCCACTGAGGCAAAAAAAAGTTTTGCTTTTTTCCCCCCTCATTCACTAATTCAGCCTTGCAGAGCTCAGCTAGACATCCACTCTTTACTGCTGCTCTGTTCTAATCATTTCCTGTTAGCCCCCATCCTCTGTGGCTGCCGCTAAAAAAACACCACCAATTCGGCCACAGTCTTCATTCCAGAAA